ATTTAACCGCCTGGTGCAGACATCGGGGAAGGAAGGAGCTGCATCGTTAGTCCGCAATTTTCTTTATCAAAGGCATGAGTTTTATGTTCGCAGATGAATTTAAGGTTGGGTTCTCCGCGGATTTCAGTTTTGCGGGCTTTAATGCGAGGGTGGCGGAACAGTACAAGATCCAAACTTCTACGCTGTTGAAATGTGGATTTCTTAAGTGTCGGTTCGAAAATGGGAAATTCAATCCCAAGATGTCGGATGTGATTATCGAAAATCGCGGAAAACTGGAGAGGAAATTTGACTCGTGGGTTAGATTTATTGGACGAGGGAGTACTCTCAGGTGATTGAGGAAATTTTCGGCGAAGAAAATGTCGCAATGTCGAATGAAGCCAAGGTGAACTCTTGTCCGGAATTATTATTCCTTTATTCCCAGGATCAGGATGCAGTTAGCTGGCAGATGGAGGAAGGTAACCCTTCCCCCCGCCAGCCCTACAAACGAAAACTCGACCCCTCCCCGCCCCACCTCCACGAGGCAATAAAAATATCCACATCATGCTTCCGCCGCCACCTTCAAACAAACGAAAATTCGCCCCCTCCCCTTACACCTTCAACGATCAAAAAAAACTCCCCCAGCACATCCACCACTTCCCCGTTCTCCTGATGCTCCACCCACTTCTTCTCGTCCATGTCTTGTATTTAAACCATGATGGCTTACCACAACACGACGACCCAAACCTCAATACAAACAATTTTTTTTCTTGGTCCTATTCCTGGAAACACTCGAGGGCATTTCTGTGCAAGTATTCTTGCAGAAAACAATGACTAATAACAATCGTCGTACATAGGGTCATGGCTCTGCAACGAGTGAGGCTACTATGAGGGGACCGTCGCAGAAGGCGTAAAGGTCAAAGGCAAAGCAGTGGTGCCTACTGTTGAATTTTTTTTCCCCTGTTGCCAGTTCTCCGGGGATAAAGAGTGCAGTTCCGCCGTTTGATTCTATGCATACAACTCAATTTATGCAAGGTGCTATCAATGCGGCTGATCGGAAAAAACGAATCCAAGTTGCATGAGCTCAATATTTCTTCGTCAAACGCGGATTGCCTACCGATGAGCGGAAACGATGCTTTCAAAAATTTCTTTTGAGAGAGGTCATTAGCAAGAGCAAGGATTTGATGGGATGTTACGAACGAACGTATACTAGTTATATTGGCTTCCTCAGAGGGAGAGTCATTAAGTATGGGAATATGTTTTTTTCAGTTCCCGCAGGAAAGACATGGATGGAAGAACCTGTAGCTCATAAGTAAGTCTATTCTTTAGATGCCTAGTAGGAACTTCCAGTCTAATATGAGAATAGGAAAGCACCATTTAAGTTTGCAGATAAGCCCTTTCGACACTGGTCACTTGATTCGCTTCCGGGAGCTGAATGGAATCACCTTTGATCGAAAGAAACTATTGATCTCTATATCAAGATGTTCGTTCATTTTGAGACAGAACCAGTCGAAGCTGGCAGAATAGGGTAGATCTCTGACGATAACGAAGGATAGTAGTATGCGATGCTTAAAATCACCGTATTACAGCTAATTTTCCTCGTCAAAGCCCTTAGGGCGGTATACGAGTAATGATATTAAAAAAAAAAAATAAAAATAAAAATAAAAATAAAAAGCTAATTTGGCTCTATATTTTGGCGGAATCCAACATATTCCAAGCAAGCAATGATCACAGATCTGGACAGAATTATCTTCAATACAATGGACCTGCCAGAATTCTCGACGGACAACTTTGATTACTCAATTTTTTTAAACAAGCATACCGCATACCTTCAATCTATAGCAATCAGGTCAAATGACTCAACCACCGAAACATTGTCCCTGTCGATGAACCAGAAGCCTTAGTGAGCGCTGCACTGGAGAAAGTTCATGCCGTGGCACCAACCTACGAAATTCCCGAAGCAGAATGTCAAGAGGCGGTATCGATTTCAGTCAAGCAGGAGACGTTTCTGCAGAATTCTTTCCGTGAGAAACTTCTTAAGGGAGATCAAGATATCCTTGATTTGCGTGGCCGGCAATTCTTGCATGTCTGCAACGAAGATCTCAACACACTATTCTGGTATCAAACAAAAGTATCCAATTAGTATGCAAGTTCTTTTTTTTTTTTTTTTTTTTTTGAGTCACGGAACCCCGCTTACGGGCTACCAGCCTATCGCAGGGACCCCTATACCCGGGTCAGGTTATGCAAGTTTTAACATCTGGGCAAAGTACAGGGTTCATCAATGGATAGTCACCAAACATTTACAAGACGCTGGAACATTTCAAGTTCGTAGTCAGCCCCGCCGCAGTATTCACCATGTTTGCCTCTGCGAAGGCCTGGACACAGTTCCAGCAAGACGGCACCATCAACATCCCTAATATGGTTACATTCCTCATTGAGGATCCTTCAATAATGGAAGTAATAAGCCAGGAATATGATATGTACGATTGGCACTATTACCCAGAAGGGGGTCCAGAAAGTCGAAGAGGGTGGCTCAGGAACATGTACTACTCATTAGTATGGCAGGTAATTAGAACGGATCCAATATACTATGCCTTGACAGTGGCAAGTCGCCCGGACAATAACTGGCGGCTTATCTCAGTACCCTATTATACTAAGGATGCCAGAGCGGATGGAATCGACTGGGTTTCACCATTTTAATCTCAATGTTCAGAACTATTTAAGCAAAAGCTGCGGGCGAAATGCGGTGCAAGGAAGCGTCAGTCTAGGCCATGAGGATGAGGAAGGATGCACAGTACTAGTGAAGGGATTCCATAGGAGACTTCAAGAGTGGTGGCATGAGGTTGAAAACCAGCTGGGAGCAGAGCAGCTCCCCGCAGGGGAGAACACAGATATGAGCAAGTTGTACACTGGGAGAGATAAGGCAAAGTATGGGAATTTTTTGCCTGTGCCTTGTAGCAGAGGAGGTATCCGCCTCACACGAGCAGACATTCCCCACGGATCAACCCCTAAGGGAGGGAAACGACGTCGCACTATCTTCCCATGGCTTACGGCAGTACAGTAAACGAACAGTATATGCGGGTGGACTTTCCTGACGGAGAATGTTGGGAGGATATTGCAAGATATCATAGCGACTTCGCTATACCTAAGCATCAGGTTAGTGGAAGTTGTAGTGCATGGAATTGCGGTGACAAAGAAACTCGGGAAAGTAAGAGAGTGGATGGAGACTGCGAACCCCTGGATGGGGAAGATTGTTGCGGCAAGATGGCTGGTGAAGAAAGAGAGGAGGGAGGGAAAGAAGGCTAGCTCTGTTGTCATCGACCTGGAGGGGGAGGTGGAATCGGATAGCCAAACACCAGCGAAGGTAAGGTTGTCAGGCAAGTGGTACGATTCGTGCCTGCACGACTGGGACAGAAATTCAAAGGTGGACAGAAAGGGGAAGGGGAGGGAGGTGGAGGAAATGGACTTGACGGCATAATCTTTCATTTTTGGAGGAGTGGGTTGTCTCATGGGTTTTATTTCCTCTATTCCCTTTTTAATGTCGGTGTATATAGTGAGTTGTTGTTTGTTTTTAGGTGCCTGTCTCCGGGCCATGAGGACTTCGGTCCAGGGACCCTGCCATGGCGAACAGCTGCAAGCGGGGTTATGTGAGTTTAATAAAAAAAAAAAAAAGGTTAGTGGAAGAGAGGCCAGGGCATCTGGAGGTGGCAGTGTCAGCTTCCCAACAGTGGTGAGGCTTGATCCGGCGACTCGTATAAGGGCAGCACTCTTGGACCAGATTAGATGAGAGGATGGGAGACCTTGGAGGTATAGGCAGGACTAAGCACTTGGTGTATTCATTTGGCTTTTTTTCCTTTTTCTTTTTCTTTTTTTTTTCTTCTTGTTCATTCCTCGCACATATGCGCCCCGCTGCCCTGTGGCGAGACATATGTGCTTCATGTACTCAGTCTTGTAGCTTTTTTTTTCTTTCTATCAGTACTCGCATGCCGCCCTAAGAGCTATGGCGAGGTGGTTTAATTACATAAATAGAGTATGAAGAGAGAAATAACGAGATGAAGTGTGTGTAAACCCTTTTGGAGTCCCACCCAATCTAGTAGTTCCGTCAATGCGTCGTTGTCGTTATTCTTCGGGGGTCTTCGAAGTTCCGCCTCGCCTCCCGGCCATTTCCTTTTTCAGACTTTGCACTCCGTTAGGACGTAGACGGTGGCTTCCAGTTCTTCACCGCACCAACGGCACTCCGGGCTGGTTTTCGATGCCGATCTTGTGTTTCCAGTATCTCAATCCTTTGTCCCCGATTATACCTGTCAGTGTCGCAACCCTGTGGCCTAGGCGTTGTAGTGGTCTGTAGTTGAGGTCCAGCCTGTTTCATTCTACGGCTCTGCGTGATCTCGCAGCCTGTCTCATGCCTGCTTCGGTGACCGTTTCGTCCTGATATTGGAGGAAGACTCCGATTTTGGCCGCCCTGTCAGCCCCTGCGTTGCCCAGTCTTGTAGCGCCAAATACTTTCTTTTTTTTTTTTTTTTTTAAATATATATCATTACTCGCGTGCCGCCCTGGGGGCTATGGCGAGATAAAGTGAGAGCTAGATACATAATAACATGAATAACATGAAATCAAAAGGAAAGAAGAAATAATGGAAATGTGTTGTCATAGATAAACGTTTAACGTCCTGCCCATTCCAGAAGCTCCCTCAGAGTATCTTTGTCCTTGTCCTCTCCTTTTCCCTTCGGGGGCTTCGGTAGGTCGTTCACGCCTCCAGGACATTTCGTCCTCCAGATTTCGCACCGGTCGAGCACGTGCGATGTCGTCTCCTCCTCTTTGCCACACCAACGGCATTCCGGGCCGTCCGTCTTTCCCAGTTCGTACATCCATCGCCTTAGGCCTTTCCCGCCCAGTATACCGGCTAGGGTCAATACCCTGTGCCCCAGGCGTTGTAGGGGTCTGTAGTTGATTGCCAAATACTTGCTGAGACGGTCCAAAGCCCTGTAAAGTAGGAAATAAGTCCCTGGCATGCATCAACCAAAGGTTCGGTGGTCTAACGGTATGACGCCTACTAGATAAGGCTACATGCTGCGAAGTGAAAAGCAGGGCTGAGGCATGAGGTGGAGAGTCTGGGTTCAAGTCCCAGCCGAACCAAATTTTTCTTTTTTGATTCTGTTCTGCTAAAGGTGATGGTAGACTGACACAGACCTGGAATATTTTTTGTAAAAAAAAAAAAAAAATTATGTTATCAGTATATCATTTCTCACTTGCGGCCCCAATTGTTATAAAGATAAGCTTCATCTAAGGAAACATCAGTAACAGAAATAATGATAACGAATCTCATAGATCCCACGACCCTCGTTAGTGATGTCGGTTAAAAGAAATGGACAAAGACAAAATCACAACTCATGATTCTCTCCAAGTTTAAAGACATAATATCGAAATACAGCGGCGCCTCAGCAGGCGTGGAATCTCTCTCTATTCCAATCATACTGACATGATCTATAGTACTTTTTTTTTAAATATCTTTGCTCGCATGCCGCCCTAAGGGCTATGGCGAGATTAGGTACAAAGGAGAGATAGGAAATAAATGTAACAAATAGATTGCAAAACCGACGTAACTACTAGTCATCATCTCGACCAGCGGGACCCTCCCGCCCTCCTTCCCCTTCGGTGGGTCCCTCAGCGCGTCCGCCCCCCCCTGGCCACTTCAGTCTCCATACCCGCACTCGTTCCATATGTGCTCCTCCGTCTCCTCGGCTTCCCCACACCACCGGCACTCTGGGCTCTCTTCCTTGCCTATCCTATGTCTCCAGGCTCTTAGACCTTTGCCTCCAATGAGGTCTGCCTGCGTGGATACCTGTCCACCATAGGAGTTCCAGTGGTCTGTAGCTTAGGCCCAATCTGGCTCTCTCCCTCGCCCTCTGGGCCCTCGCCTCCATCCGCATCCCTGCCTCCGTTGTCGTCTCCTCCTGGTATGGTAGTAGGGCCCCAATCTTGGCCGCCCTGTCGGCTCTCTCGTTGTTGCCAGACTACTCTCGTTGCCTACGATGCCCCTGTGGCCCTTTATCCACATCACTGCTACGTCTGTGCCCCCTCTTACCACCCTTTCCTCCCAAGCCTTTCGTACCTGCTGGGCTGCCCTTCGGGTGTCGGACGTCCCTCGGCTATGCTCCTTAGCTTTTGGATGGCCACCTTGGAGTCCGTTATGAGGAGTAGCTCTTCTTCACCTTTCTCAAGTACCCTTGCCATAGCTATTAACTCTGCATCATTCACTGTTGCCCTTGTTCCCAAGTAGTGTGACCTAGATCCCCCGGGATCCTTCCAAAGCCCTGGTCCCGTTCTCCCCGCAATCCTGCTCCCATCGGTGTACTCCGCTTTCCACCCCTCATCTCTCTCCTTGTCTATTCTCCTCTCTCACTCGAGCCTCTCTGCTCCTCTGTCCAGTTATTCGAGTATGGCCAAGGGTAACGGTTTCCTCGAACCCAGGTGTCCTCTTGCCCTGCCATGGCGAACAGCTACAAGCGGGGTCACGTGAAAAAAAAAAAAAAAAAAAAAAAAAAAGGTGTCCTCTTGGGTAGATCGTGTCCTCCTCCTTCCTCCGAAGGGGCTCGCCCTGGAATCTCAATGTCCTTACTTCCACCCGTGTTTTCTCGCCTTCTAGGAATGCTTGCACTGACTCCACATTTGCCAAGTCCTCCACCACGTCCCTCCGCGTGCCCCACGGGGCCCCGGTAATTGATCTTGTAACTGTGTATTGCCACTCTTCTAGTTTTCTCGTTTTCTGCTCTGGGTAAGCATTTCGTTTATAGCCCAACCATGCCCAGCTCCCCCACACTATTGCTCTGGCACTGGTGGTGTATATCTGTCTTTCTTCGCTGGCCCTAGTCTTTGTAATCTGGATGCCACTGCCCAGACTGCTTTCCCCAGGTTTAGTCTCCTCTGGTGGTTTGCGTTGAATTTGAGTTCCCAGTCTAGGTCCAGTCCCACTAGGCGATAGTTCGGGCCCTTGACCCCGACGATAAGGGTCTCCCGCTTGGCCTGGTCTTGCTGGAATCCTTCCGCCCGGCTTCTTTCTCCCCATTCTCTCGCCATAGCCCTTAGGGCGGCATGCGAGTACTGATATTTAAAAAAAAAAAAAAAAAAAAAGTCTGCTTTCTCCAGTTCGGACCTGTGTGCCCTGATAGCTTGGTCTCCAGCTACGGAGGTAACCGAAAACGCCATGGAGAGGGTAGAATTGAGGGCCCCGGTTCAATTCTGAGCAGGGGGAGAGGGTTGTCCAGCATCTCTCTGAGATGGCCTGTAATGCTCCAGTTCCATATAATTAAATTCTAGTGGAACTGGAGCAATCTGTTTTTATTTTTACCTTTTTCATTTTTAGTTTTGCGCTTTGAGAGGAAGAAAGCGGGATGGGATTTTTTGTATTCTGGGTGCGTTTGCCTGCTTCCGGTTCGGTCCAGGGCCCTGCCATGGCGAGTAGGCGTAAGCGGAGTTACACGATATAAAAAGAAGGGAGAAAATAATAATAATAATAATAATAATAATAATAATAATGCGAGCGTGATTGACACTTAAGTACCGTCGTTCTTCAGCCACTGCTTTCTGGTCGAAGGGATCAACGTAAGACGACGGATAGTATCAACTACCACCTTCGATGACCAGAATTGTGGGGAGCTGGCGGAACGGATGTAAGACAGGTACAGTGTCTAGGACCGCTTGCTTCAACTCCTCAGCAAGTACGAAGATGCCTACTAAGATGTGGAATGAAGCCATGCGATGCGTGGGTACGAGTGCAATTGTGAGAAAGACAATGCAGATAAATACCCATGAACTCCCTCACGTGCCATCTGTCCTCCCTTATCACCAATTCCAAGCGTGTACTTTCGCAATAGGTCAGCTTCCCCACAACATATCCCACCAACACCTCCTGTTATGATATTCAAGCTACCACCTCCTCCTTGTCAAGGCACGCCGTAACCATTCATAATAAGTTGCTTGTTTTCAATGCAGTCCCTGTCTGCTCTAGAACAGGTATATATTGAATGACACCCAATGGCGGAGGATTTTGGATATCTCCGACTATACAGGAACCACTTTAAAATTCCGTTAAGAGCAAGAGAGATACCTAATTTGTGTCTAGAATTCTCCCAGAACCTTTCTGCTCAAAACTATGCAATTGTGGCTGTCACTATATGTGCATAGTATGGTAGAATCACTCTGAGCGCAGAAAACATCCGCGAAATTATTTATTGCTCTAACTATTTGTAACTTCACGGTATGATCAATCAGTTTCTGGAACTGGGTGATTGTTTCTTGCTTTCATGTTCGTTTTAGGGTACCTGCATGCAGGGGGAATATGGCGAGAGTCGAAAGAATATCGCGAGAGCCGAAACTAATTCGTACAGGGAAGAGGATACTTGCTGACAGAGAAACTTATCGTGGTTTTGATATTCATCTAATATTCTTGAACGCTCTAATTGCGACTCATGGATTTCCGACCCTCAATCATTTTATTTCTCCATTCATATGTGCTCACATCAATTCCATGTGCTGCTCCCTCATAGAAATGCGAGTTTCTGGAGTAACTCGATAACTCTAATATACCGGCAGCATGATTATCTGGAACTTCCTTACATGCTTGTTCATGCACCCAGGATACCATATAATCAGATCTTCGTGTGCTGTTGCTACAGGTTGTACAGTAGTACTCCATCGATGAACCCCAATCCAAGGATGAGGCGAGACATGCAGCCAAATGAAAACCTCGGCTACGTTACACCCCACGAGGTACTGTAATGCAACGAAATTGACGAGTTCATGAAACCAGCCAAGCGTACATGGAGTTCTTTTCGCATGCGCAAACCTTGAACATACCAATGAATGCGCAGTAACTATTCAGCAGGGGCGAAAGTTATAGCAAATTGAAATTCAGGATTTTCTTGTATTGAGTATTTTCATGCGTGTTTCTCAATGTCGATCAATGCAGGACTAACGGAAACCTGATCGACGTTTACCACGATCTCTTGTTTTCAGTTGTACCTAGCACTCAAATTTGATACGGAGAAGTAATGCATTGAGTGAGTCCTGTAGTGACAGTGCATTGTAGAGTTTGCAGCGAAAGGTATGATATGGCAGACTGGAAAATGATAAGGCGGAGGGCTCAGCTGCATGTCTCGCGATTTCCAAGGCTTCCGTAGCTCCGGCAGCTTCCAGGAAGCTAAATCTGTCTTGAATAGCGTGTACCGATCCCTTATGTAATTGCTCTACATAAATAATGCTACCGGTATTTTATACAAGCTTTTCCGGTGATCAGCTTCTAACTATGCCATCCATGCATCCTAGACAATGCCCTACCATGGCCTAGCCCTTCCAAACCAGAGAAAACTATATTCGTGTTGATTCGGAATTGAAAGACAAGGAGTTAGAGAGGGAGAGCAGTTCCCGGCGGTACTTTCATGCGAACTAGAGTTTTTAGCGGGCTGGAGACCAGTACTTCATTCAAATCCAGCGGTAGTTCTACCTCCGCAATTTAGGCTTTTGTGAGTGGAAGAATTCCACTTGCATAATTCTTTCAAGCTATTCCTACATATGAGCCAATAAACGGGAGCCTGTACCTGAATGCGCATTCGTTTGCTATGGTTGGGGACATCTGTACGCGGAGTGGGGCGGACATTTGGCTTGATGACTAAGCAATAGTTATGTAGTAATTACATGCACTGTTCTACCCCCTTTTAAACTGTCGCATCGATTTGGTATCGCTTCAAAATATTATTTTTCATTCACTAATTTATCATTTTTTGATGCAAAACTAATTTTATCTATTAATTTTGGTTGTGATTTGAGTGTTGAAGTTGATGCGAAATTCACTCCGGTTACAGATGTCCCCAACCATACGAGCAAGTGAGCGAGCTGACTGCTGTCACACTTGCTGCAGCTACTGCGGCTTGCAGGACATTAGGTGCAAGCCTGACTAGCACTAGGTATAGCACTGCTAAGGAGGATAATACTATTGGCAGAATCCCTACGATCACATGTATGAAAATTGTAGAGAGCGTAGAATTCGACTTCCAAACATTGAGCAACTTGATACCCTATATCGATATCCCTAACGGTCCTGTCTGAATCCCATCAATTTCGGGGGTAACTTAAGGGGG